TTTTCTTATCTAATTGATAAGAAAGAATAGGGCCTCTGACTATGTGTGTTGTGAGACTCAACGGGCTCATAATTACCCCGCCTTCTCACAATTCTTGCTCGAAGCCAGAAAGTAAGTAGGTGATCACTATATATCTGAGTAAAATGTAAACACTTTTTTTTTTCTTTTTTCGAACTTGTGAGAAAAAAGGTACATAGGTGAAGGTGATTGCCTGGTCTGCAAAAAATACATGACCTATCTATTCTTTATAAATGTAGTTTTCTTATACTTATAAAAAACACTGCTTTGAGGGCATGATTGTCATTCTTTTACATGGGGCGTATGCAAGGAGAGGAAGGTCCAACAGACTTCTCGGGGTTTAAACCACCAGGCTACACCATGTAAATGATATGAATGTATCCACCTTGCTTTTTTGACATTATACTTCTTCCCGATAGTCACGCAAAAAATTTCGTCTATAATTCTAGATGATAGGGCCTCTGACTTCGTATATTTATTTTCCATTATATTATTATAAAAACTGTTTAGAGGGTGCGATTGTTGGACTATTATTGTTTACATAGTAAGGAGAGGAAGACCCGATGAGCTTCCCGCAGTTTAGTCTACTGAGCTACGAGATGAGAAATAGTTTGAAAGTATCCACCTCACTTTTTTGCTATTATATTTCTTTCCAATAGTCACGCAAAATTTTCTTGGCTATGCCAGTTCTACTAATACCTTTGAGGACATAGATAGGTAGTTGTTCACCATTTTCCTAATACTATTCTTGAGAGTGGCAAAGCCACGAGTCTCTGACTCATCACAATTAGGTATCTTTTTTTATCAATAATTTTCTTGTTAGCAAGCCACTTTTATGTTTCTGAGTATATAATACGATTAAGTGCTTTGGAAGTTTGTGAACAAACAAATCATCTCTGCTATTAAAAAAACAGAGCGAAGAATGGTAAAGGTATTTGATGATCTTGCCGGTGAACCCATAGCAATTCAGCAAAAAATTGAAGAGTTCTTTAGAAGTGGTAGGCATTCCAATATTAGCCCAATTTATATAGCACAACATTATTTTGAAACTTCCATGAAAATACATGCAAATATTACACATATCTCAATACATCGTGATGGTGGAGAAGGTTTAGATAATTTAAAACGTGTTCTTAAAAGTAAGTATACTAATTATGAATCTCTTGCAAAAAAAATTGATATTATAACAAAAAAATACTTTGTAGTAATAGATCTTAAAAAACCATATGACGACCCTATGTCAATTCATTTTAGATAGGATAAATCTTTATCGAGTTTTAATGTGAAAGAAAAATATCTATCCAAAATTCGAATGAAAATAAGGTAGATATTGCATAGATTTGAATCTTGTAAGGTTTGGTTTTTTCAACTCGGTGCTATTTTTTTCTTTACTCCAAATATGCTTGTATATATATCAAATAATTAGTATCGTTATTATAGCAAGAACAACAAGCTTAACAATAGAAGAAATCTGATACTTATAATTAACTAAAGCTTCGCCAGTACCTAATACCACAATAGGTAATGCTTCAATCTCTCTTATTGGTATATTATTATTCTTTATCTTAGATATAATATGTGATAATGACTCTGGGCTTATTTTGGGAGAAATGCTACTTTGTACCTGCTCATTATTTATCCGCTTCTCATTAGAGATCTTTGATTCTTTAGGTATATTATCATTTAAACTAGTTAAAGTTTGTTGAGTCAAAGATTCTCAGATATCTCTATCTACTTGACTATTCTCTGTCTTAGACTTATGTACAAAATATTTTGAAAGAGATAAAAAGTCCAGATCTTTTGGCGGAGACTGCATAACTAATATATTTTTATTATTTTTTCATCTGTCTTACCTCCAATTTTGACTTGTTCTGATAATAATCTATTGCAGAGCAATGGCTCTTCGAGCCTAGCTTCTAAGGAGTGTATCTCTGATTTTTTTTTTATCAAGTCATCTTTTGCCTGTTTTAACTCATTAACTTTTGAAATTAATTCGCTATCCAATTCAGATATTTTAGTTTTAAGAAACTTGATCTCAGATTCTTTCTTTGGTAAGTCTTTCTGGGATAATTTCAATATCTTGATCATAGATTGAAGTGATTCTATTTCGCTTGATTTTTCTGATAATGTATTTTGTATATTATGCAACTTGATATTATAATCATTAATAATAATCTGTTGATGGTTATTTTGGGTTTTGTAACTAGATATTTCTTTCCCTAATTGTTTGGCTACTGATATATGGTGTTGAGTGTGGGAATGAATATCTGCATCAGCTCACTTCAGATCGCGATATAAACGAGCATTCTCCTGTTTAATGTTTTTACTAAACTTTGAATATACCTTCTGATAATTTTTAAATTCATCAATAAGTTCAGAATTGGTCTTACAACTATTACGCAAAGCTTCTTCAAGTTCTACTTCTCTAGCACTCCCAAGCCAATATCCTTTTGAGTTAATATCTTGCAACATACGTATATTAGCCATATAATTTTTTCTTATATATTCTAAAAAAAA